GGCCGGTGTGGCGGTTGATTCTGTGAGGGTGTCGGTGCCTTCCTGTGATGTTCCAGTGATCGGTGGAGCGTTGGGGTGGTTGCTTTCCCATGCAAGAACAGCGCCCCTGTGAAGGGGATCACACTCAGCACCCGAGTGGGACGGCTGAGCAGGACACACTTCGAACTTGGATTTTCAGTTAACGCAATTGTCTCGTTGGGAAGAAGGGCGATGGAACAGCAAGGTGGAAAGGTCAGCTTAAACTGTATTGTTGAACAATGTTGGCACTCGCAAGTGGCGGAAACGCGAACCGGCTGCACAGCTGCTGGGGACGAATGTTTATGGGGTGGAAACATGAAGGACCATGAATCAAAAAGTGGAAAAGTGGAGTCACAGCTTGTGAAAGAACGAGCAGGTACACAATGCGGCGTCCCGCATTGCTTCACCACGAACTGACAGCGTCTTCGTTGGGCAATGTCTGTCAGTCGTGCATTGCCCTGTGGTGACTTAGCTACAAGCAGTATCTGAATTGCCCCGAGCAAGTGATGGTGTGTCTCAAAGCAAATGCTCCCCAACCACAGTTCCAAGACATAAAATATATGCGTTTACTCGGGCCTTCGTCCCCTGCCTGTGGAAAAGTGGTGGGGTAAGACCCTTGGTCCAGGGTGGGACACACACACACAAAAGTGTTCCAAATGTCTACCCATCTATGACCCACTCAATCCTAACGTGATGGATTAACCGGACTGATGTCAGGTTTTTTGCCCCTCTGCTTTGCCGGCAAAGCACCCCCTGTTTGCGCGAGGCGTCAACGCTGCGATCTCCATCCTCGAAAAGGCGCGCGCCTGGCAACGCGCACTGAGCCTGGCGGAGGTTCTACATGGCCGGGAAGACGTTGTGACGTGGCTGCCAAGGGAAAACTACAGTCTCGAGCGGCAGGGAAAGCTGAAAAAAAAATTGATTGACAAGTTGTTTGGCCCTGGAAGAACCCCTCAACCTCACTGCAGGCTCTTTGAGCCACAGTCATTAATTGTTGGACCTGGAAGAGGGTGTTGTCTCCAAGGCTTTGACGAATATGACTCTTTTCGATTACCAAATGCTGCTGGCCATCCAAAATATGGTAGATGAGAAGTGGTTTGCAAACTTGAGGGTGCAGCAGGGAGTTGATACATGCTCTTGACACATGCCATGCCAAAACGTGCCCAAAATTCCGTACGCCAGCGCGCAAACGCGTCCTTGAAGAACACGGGGAGGGACGCCTCAGCAGACCCTGACGCCGCCCATGTGCTCCTCCACTTGGCCCAATCAGGTGACCTTCACCAGCTTGGCCCACACTCTGCCCGCGCAGGACCGGAACCGGTCGCTGCACAGCCGAATCGGCCCGACTCGGCCGTCTCGCGCGGAGGGCCATGCGCGCCCGCCCCCGGCAACGAGGGGGTCGACCGCTGAAGCACCACCATGGTTCGAGTGCGGCAAGAGTCTTGAGGGGCGGGTAGACTTACTTGAGCCTGCAGCCTGGTGTCGTCGCCCGAAGTAGATCGAATTGGCATGTGGTGGGCTTTTGCATCTATTTGAAGACCACCCAAGACTTTGGTTTTGAATCCAATGCATCATTGCATCCAACGCAGAGAAGCAGCAGAGCGTGGAATGAACCGTAATGAACCCTCCCAAAGCGTATTGCGGCTGCGATCGCAATCCGAAGCAACCTCATTCCTAAGCGGCGTGGGGGGGTGGCACCAGTCGGTAACAATGCAAAGAATTGATGAACCAAGGTTGTCTCAGAGTGATGGGGGGGTTGGATCTTTGGCAAAGCTGTTTGCCACCCGCATCAACTGAACTCATCACCACGGGACATTCCAAAGGAATCCGAAGCGGTGCATGACTGATCAACACGGGTGAAGACAGCGCCTACGATGTACCTCTTGGTCGCAAGGGTTCCAAATGGTGGTCCAATCTGTTTTCTCCAAGTACATCCATCTTCTAGAAAACAGGGGTGTCAATCTGTTTTCCAAACACAAGAGCCCTGATGGCACGCTGTGGCCTTTGTATCTCTTCGACCTTTGCTCGGTGAGCTGTAGGTCCTAGATCCATTTCTGCAGATGTTGTGGATCCCATGTCGGCTGCGCTTGTGCGCTGGGACGTACACGGCGGTTCTGGTTCCCACGGTGTGGGGGAACACCTCGAGTTTTGCCAGAACACATATCAGAGAAAAAGAATGTCGGAACACTTGTCAGACAGAATACCAGAACAAATGCCGGAATAAATGACATACCGTGTGTCAGAACATGTCAGAAGCATATTTCGGAACACGTGACTGTGAGAGCAGATGTCAGAAGGCACATGCCACAAACCAAGCTTTGCACTCCAGGGGTTCTTGCATGTCGCAATATCCACCAATTCCTCGCCGATGGCCATCGGCACATGGACGACTTCCTTGTGACTTTCAATGGCACTGATGGCCAAGACTGTGACCTCGACGCCAGTCTCCTCTGGCTCCAGCATCATCTTCACATGGCCTTCTGGCTGCCGAACACGGCCGCGCACTTCCCACAACTGCCTGGTCACTGCTTCGAGTGCGCGGCTCGTACCTCCTTCTCTATGTTGCCGACCGGGCACTGGGTGGTCCTTGCGTTCTGGGAGCCAGCCGTGCTGGGAGACACATGTGAAGTTGAAGGATTGCCAGGCAGAGGCAGACACCTGCAAATGCATTGAGAACCCAACAGTAGACTGTTTGTGGAACAAAGAATCAAGAACAATGGGTTAGGCTTTTTCCAAAGCTGAACCCAAATGAAGCCATGCAACCCCCAAAATAGCCTAGAATATCCAAAAGCAACCAAATTCCCACGCAGGGCCCAACCTAGGAAAGCATGTAACGCATCTGCAAAGCCCACAGGCAAAACAAAAACGAGTGTGAGCACTAGGAGACACGAGCACATGTGGATTTCTTGTCTCCTCACTTGCATGTATTGGGGCAATTCCGTGTGTAGGAGCTCACGCCAGATACACATGCGGTGTGCCCGGGTCTTGGTTACATGGCATGGTCTACCATCATGTGGACGACATGCAACACACAAAATTATACCAGCGTAGACCCCAAACAGTTTGTGCGTTTATGAAGTTAACCACAGAGACGAACTGTCAAACCGTCAACGGCTCAAACCGTTCCAGCTCGCGGTGATCAACTCGGACCTTCTGGGCTTGTTTCAGCACTTGGCTCAATTGGCTCAAGGTCACAACCGACAATTCAGACGAAAATAGAACGCAAATCTACTGAATATGCTGAGTTGTACTGACATGTGGCTTTATCATGATTGTTTGGCTAAAAGATGTTAAAAGCTTTCAACCAAAATGTGAGACAAGCAGGGACACAAGAAGGGAGACAAGTGAAGAAGCGAGGGAGACAAGCACGGGGACAAGTGGAGACAAGTGTAGCAAGAAGGGAGACGAGCAGGGAGACAAGTGGGACAGCGTAAAGCCACTTGGCCAAGAGTGTCTAAGCAGGGAGCAGGCGAAGAGGCAAGCGGAGACAAGTGTAAAAGCGTATCCAGAGCAGGCCGAGACAAGTGGAGACAAGTGAAGCAAGAAGGGAGACAAGCAGGGAGAGAAGTGTAAACTCATCCAACCGAGAGCATAGAAGCAAGAAGACAAGCAACCGGCCAAGTGTAATCCAAAGTAGGCCGAAAAAGTGGGAGACCAGTGGCGACAGGTGTAAAAACAAACATCCGGCCAAGTGTATCCAGAGTAGGCAGAGGAAGCATCTCACGCGGCCCAGAGGACCCAGAGGGAGACAAGCGCAAAAGCATGCACCCAGAGTGTATTGGAGACAAGGAGAGACAAGTGGGAGACAAGTGCAAAAGCATGCAGCCAGAGCACCCAGAGTGTATTGGAGACAGGGAGAGACAAGGGGGAGGCAAGCCAGAGTACGGGAGACAAGGGAGACAAGTGGGAGACAAGTGTACAATCACGCGGCCAGAGCAGCAGAGTGTACTGGAGACAGGAAGACGAGGGAGACAAGTGACAAGCGGGAGACAAGTGTAAAATCATGCAGCTCAGACTGAGAGACAGCTGCAACATCATTCGTGTGGCAGGAACACAAACCGGGAGACACATGCAAAATCACGTGGCCCGCCCTTTCAAAGGAGTAAGAACCCCTCACAGCTAAACCTGTTTGGGGAATAAAATCATGCGGCCAGAGCACTGAGAGCATCCAGAGCTTACTGGGAGACAAGTGGGAGACAAATGGGAGACAAGTATAA